GTGGGTGGGTGGTTGGGTGAGTGAGTGGGTGAATGGGTGAGTGAATGGGTGAGTGAGTAGGTGGGTGGTTGGGTGAGTGAGTGATTGAGTGAGTGAGTGAGTGGGTGAGTGAGTGAGTGAGTGGGTGGTTGGGTGGGTGAGTGGGTGAGTGGGCGATCTTGTGAGGAGCCCTTGATAGCATGATAACCATTAGGTCAGCCCCTCAAAACCATCGGCCATTCCTTGTTCCTCGGGAGGCTTTTTGCTCCATCATGATTCACGGTCTCAGAAATCCATGGGGACGGTTCTGCTCTGCCCTATAGGCTTGTTATAAGTTGGAATCAACTTGATGGCAGTGAGTGAGTTACGTTGTTTTTTGTAGTTGTAGAGTTTGTGGTTATGATTTAAAGGTTGAAAAATCTTATAAATGACAATGCGGTGCTGTAGAGCTGCCGAGGGCTGAAAAGAAACTTCCTTTTTTGTTTTTTCTGGTTGTCAGGCCAGAGCTGGAGGAGCAGGCTGACCGTAGATACAAATGTATAGTCATGCAGTTGCTGGGGCTAATGCAGACATTTGTTTTGCAGCTATAAGAAATGTGATCCTGTAGAAGTGGAGCTGGACAATCAGGTGGTCACTGCCACCCAGAGCAACGGTTGTGATGAAGATGAGACCTGTTATACTTACGACAGAAACAAGTGCTACACTAACGTGGTCCCCCTGACCTACGGTGGGAAGACCTACATGGTGCGAACGGCGCTGACCCCGGACTCCTGCTATCCCGACTAGCTGATGCCATTGCCGACGGCCCAGCTCCTCATGTAAGGCTCTCCATTTCAGTCTAGAACGTTAATATATGGAATACCAAGGACGTCACGGTCATGAACATATTTTCTGGATAATGTAAAACTGACTTATCCCACCCCCCAGCAAATAATTGATATCATAACATTATTGTTACATTTATTGGATAATTCCTTCTCATTAGTAGGTCCATACGAAGTGTTTAAATTTCTGACTTCTCGAGCTTACCTGAAGGGGCACACCTCCTTAGGAATGTAGTTCCTCATATAAAGAAAAAACAGACAAGTGAACGAGAGTAAAACACAAAGAGTACAAAGGAGACCTAATGAGACTGTGCCTTTGTGTGGTGGATGGGCTTTGACGTGGAGAGCCACTGCTTTCACACCCTTTCCCTCTGTTTAAAAAGTATTCCTGTGCAGAGAAAGTTTATGTATCCTTTTAGGCAAATATTCTTTTCTTAGAAAATCAATAATTAAGAAAGATATTTGAAACTATTTGTAAAAATATTAAAAATGGGAGCACATGATTAGGAAACTTATTATCAGAACATGATGTCACTAAATGCATGATTGAACATTATATTTTGGTATAGCACAGTCTTGGAGCAGTTGCTACAAGTTTTTCAATTTTTAAAGATTTTATTTTGATAATCAGGTTAGTATAAGAGAAATCATCCATCTTGTAACTGAATCTAAAGAACTCTGTATCCCAAATATATATTCTCTCCCAAATATATATTCTCTAGCACAGTTTGACCAATTAAATAGATTTATAAGCATATTCCTGTGTGACATAATTTATTGGGAAAATTTTGTCTGTGTTAACTTTTTTGCTTGTAAGTTAAAATGTAATTGACTACTGATGAACAGCTTGAAGTATGTACAGGCACACATTTGAGACAGAGTTGTCATTTTCCACCTAAAATTAAATGAAAAGGCAAGGTCCCTCCGGAACCACACAGCAATGATCCTGGCAGGCAAAATTTCTTCACGGCAGAAATCACGTCCAGTTGACATACAGGTCTGTGGAAAGCAAATGCTAACTCTGGATTAGAAGTCGATGCAAAGCCAGTTTCTTGAGACTCTGTTTTCTATTTCCTATTTTGGTTTACTTTTAATGATGTTATAATTTAAAAAATCATTTTATTGGGAGCTCTTACAGATATTACAGAATCCTTAATTTAATTAGATCAAGCAAAATTGTACATTTGCTGCCACCATCATTTTCAAATCATTTTCTTTCTTCTCTAACTCTTTGATATTGGCTCCCCTTCATACCCTCCCGCCCCCACTCTACTCCCCAGGAGCCCTTATTATTATATTATATATTATTATTATTTTCCCGCACCTTACATCATCCAATATATCCATTCACCAACAATTCTGTTATTCGTTCCTCTCGAATGGGGTTATACAGTCATCATTGCTGTTGGTCCCCTCTTCCTCCCCACCCCACCTCTTCCCATACCCTCAGGGAACTGTTACTATCATTACTATTTCTGAAGGGTTTATCTATCTTGGATATCATGTATTGAATGATCTTAATTATACAAATGAACATACGCAGATCTCACAAGATTAATGAGGTACAACTATGTGTTTCATGAGTGCTATACTGCACCTTGGATATATATCCCTTCCATGCGGCCCTTCTGTGAGGGACTGTGTAATTATCAAGCAGGTGGGCTTTGGGTCTCCACTTTTGTCTACGCTCCTTCACATCAGTTTGATTGCTTGTTTTTGAACTTCTGATACATATTTCTGTCGACACTTCATGATCACAGACTGGTGTGCTTCTGCTTTATTGCTTCCCTGCTAGATGGAAAGATGCTAAAATTTTGAATAAACTATACTGTGTTTATAGAAATGAATGTAATGTTTCTTGAGGTATAACTATAGGACACTCATTAGGAATCATATCTTTGATGTGTGAAAGACAAATCTTTTTGAATTATCTTCAGTATTGTATGTGGTTTTGGCCAAGTCTTTTTTTTTTCCCACTTAGCAATAATCATGCTTCAGGTAAACCTCATTGACTATGATATTGCCACTGCGCAAAGCTTGGCCAAGTCTTTGACTTTGAATTAATCAGTAAATATTTATTAAATATTTATCATGCACAAGGCACCATGCTAGATTATTTGGTGATAAACTGCCTCACAAGAAACTCACTATCACCCCTCTCACCTCCCATCTCATTTTCCATCACAGGTGTTTGCTCTAATAAATCTCTTGTACCTCTAACCTCATCTTGATTAATGACAGTACCCAATTATGTTCTGTCTGACTTAATGATGATGATCATTTGAACTTCTTTCATGTACCAAGTGAGTTCTCATTTAATGAAGGTTTTCTCTTTAATCTTTACTGTAATTATTTGGATGTTACTCTCGCATGATAAATGAGAAACCAACTCCATGAGTAATTCATAATTTGACTGATGCTCTCCTGTAATAAATGACAATGAAAACCTAATCATTCTGCTAATTTAGCCTTGTCCTGTTTCAAAAATGTACCTCGGCAATGACTGTAACCTATTTTTAAAGTTCATATGACATTCCTGGGTTTAATGTGGCCAACTTGCTGATGTCTTAAATCCATTATTTTATATTTCCCACCCTCTTTTACATTTGACTTAAGTGGATGACATTAAAAATCAAACAAACAGGCCTGTCTGGGCGCCACCGGAGGGAAGTGCTTTCCTTGTGTGTAGTTCCGTCTAAGATAGTCATTTTCCTAATTAGCACACTTTCTATGAGCCAGAGAAAAATTATTTTAATTAACAATAGGAGTAAAATGCTTCTTTATGCCAGGTCTATGGTGCCAATACATTGAACCCACATATTCTGCTGTCACTTTAAGGCCACTGTGATATTTTCTCTGAAAAATCATTTATTTTTTGTTGAGAAGATATACAGCTAACACACACACCATTTCAGGCTTCTCCATGTACGATGCAGTAACATTGATTACGTTCTTTGAGTCCTAAAAGGTCTACAGAGCAGATCATCAGTTTTCCATTCGACAATCCAGACACATTTTGTTTCATTTTATTTATTGCAATCCCTCAATCTCATCTGTCCTGCTTCCCCTCTGTGGTACCTGGTTCTTTCCTAACCCTTCGGGACGTTGTCCTTGGGTCGGTGTCTACCTTTTGGTCTCAAATGGTGGTTTTAAGGCGTGTGTGCTTCACTAGTGGGATTTATGTCCCTTATAAACACATTTGTTGTTTAGCTGGAAATTGAACCATGGGAGTGGGTTCACTTCCAGACCCCAAAAGGGCTGATGGTCAGTACCAGGGGTTCCACCAATCCCTGGCTGGTCAGCAAGCTTAGTCTCTTTCATGCTTTTGCCTTTTGTTCCTTATTTTTCTCCCATTCTATCCCGAATTCTCTAATGTGATCCACTTTGGGAGTGGCAGCCAGGAACCATCCAGTTCTCGAGCCTCAAGACCGAGGAAACTGATGTTCATGCAGTTCATTAGTCCATTCGACACATTGTGTACCTTAGAGTTTTATCACTCTCCTTTCGTCTGGATGGGAGACACCAATAGTGGCACGTTAGACGCTGCCCACAAACTTTTAAGGCCCCAGTCACGATTCACCATAGGGCGATGCCCGTAGCCTTCTGCTCTGTGTATGTCTCCAGTTACGCTTGACAGTGTATTTAGGGCACGTATGACTGCTATCCGCTCTGCCCGTCTGTCGACTCAGGCTCCACTTCTCTCCGAAGACGTGCACAGTCAGCGGCAGAAAAGTATTACACAGCTACAGCCTCGCACCCAGCTAAGCTTTTCTTTCAACGCGAAAGTATGTTCCAGAGGAAGAGTGGGTCAGTCTCCGGGGAATGGAGACAATCCAGGGTGGTGCAATGCAGAGATATGTTTATTATTTTTTATGATTAAAATCAGCAACAAGTCTTCTCTAGGCCACTTCTTTGCCCACCACGTATGCGCAAGGTGGGAGAGTTTATAATTGCAATGCCCTTAAATTAGTAAATTTTACTGCAGTTTATCAACTGAATTTTTCCTGACCATTTATTCTGAGGGTGTTTTTCTTTCTTTTCTTTTAAATCATTTTATTGGGGGCTCGTACAACTCTTATCACAATCCATCCATCCATCCATTGTGTCAAGCACATCTGTACATTTGTTGCCATCATCATTCTCAAAACATCTGCTTTCTGCTTGAACCCTTGGCATCAGCTCCTCATTTTATCCCCTCCCTCATTTTCCCTCTGCCTTCCTCCCTCATGAACCCTTGATAATTTATAAATCATTATTATTTTGTCATGTCTTACCCTGTCCGACGTCCCCCCTCACCTACTCCTCTGCTGTCCGTCCCACAGGGAGGGGGTCATATGGAGATCCTTGTAATTGGTTCCCCATTTCCACCCCACCTTCCCTCCACCCTCCCAGTATCACCACTCTCACCACTGGTCCTGAGGGGTTCATCTGTCCTGGATTCCCTGTGTTTCCAGTTCCTATCTGTACCAGTGTACATCCTCTGGTTTAGCCAGATTTGTAAGGTAGAACTGGAATCATGATAGTGGAGGGAAGAAAGCATTTAAGAATTAGAGAAAAATTGTATGTTTCATCCTTGCTACACTGCACCCTGACTTGCTGATCTCCCTGCGACCCTTCTGCAAGGGGATGTCCAGTTGCCTATAGATGGGCTTTGGGTCCTCACTCCACACTCCCCGTCATTCACAATGATTAGATATTTTGTTCTTGATGCCTAATACCTGATCCCATTGACACCTTGTGATCACACAGGCTGGTGTGCTTCTTCCATGTGGGCACGATCAGCTTTCTTCACCACATTTGCTTATGCACCCGCTTAGTCTTCAGTGATCATGGAATGCCAGTTTAATAGAACAAAGTGTTCTTGAATTGTGGGAGTACTTGAGTGGAGGCCTAATGTCCATCTGCTCCCTAATACTAAACCTATAAATATATGCACATAGATCTATTTCCCCATTGTCATATATAAATATATTTACATATGTATATGCCTGGATTTAGACCTCTATAAATGCCCTTTGCCTCCTAGCTCTTTCCTCTATTTCCTTTGACTTTCCTCTTGTCCTGCTATCATGTTCAGTCTTCATTTGGGTTTCAGTAATTCCTATCGGTTATATTGCCCTTGATCAAACCCTATCAGGCCTCCTACATTCTCCTGTTGTTCCCTTCTCCTGGGTTTGTCAACACCACTTCCTTCCCACACCTCCCCCACTCCCATGCCCCGCTAAAATCGTTGGTCCCATTGTTTTCTCCTCCAGACTGTCTATCCCACCTATCTTATCTAGATAGACCTGCAGAGGCAATAATATGCACAAAAACAAGACAGAACAAAACAAAGCAAAAAAAAAAAAAGAAAAGGCAACAAGAAAAAACCAATGATAAAAGAAGAGAAAAGCCTGTAACTAGTTCAAGCTCTGACTGTTAACCTTTAAGAGTGTTTTCTGTTTGAGTCTGATGGGGTGCCACGCTCTGGCCCCAAAGTCTATTTTTGGTATTCCCTTGGGGCTTCCTTGCTCTGCTCCCCTTGTTGCTCTGTTTCAGGCCCTTAGTGTTTTGCTTCGGTGTGGTGGGGTCAGATCATGTGCAATTCCCACACTGTGTCTCCAGTGTTGTCCCCTGTAGGGCTGTGGGTCAGTGAGGAATGGTCTCATAGTGGGGCCGCCCATATGGTCCTCTCTGTGCATTGGCTGCTTTGAGCAAGGATATCGTCCTGAAGGTTTGGTGTGCCAGGATGTGCTCCACTCTCTCTTCCTCCCCCTT